CACCGAAAACCATAATAGCGGGTTCGAATTTAACTTGGGTCCCGAGTTTTTTAAATATCTCAGAATCATAGTAGTTGTTTTCAACGTAACACCCTGCCATGACAGAAAGATATTAGACACTAAATAAAAAGTTAAACATTGTCATTTGGACTGCACCTTCACCTTAACTGGGTTTAATGCTTATTTAAGCACACTAGATTATCCCTTTTAACAGACGATTTCTAATAGCACCGTTGGCTAGAAAAAACTAGCAGAGAGAAAGTCAAGAAAAAGGATTATTTTTTTTAGAAAGCTCAATGGTGCAGTGGGTAACACGTGGAATCCGTGGAAAGATAATAGAGGTTTTTAAGCTCGTATTTGGTTCCGAGTTTTGCAAATATCTCAGTATCAGTGTAGTTGCACTTCACATAACATTCTGCCGTGAAAAATAGTTGATACTTAGTTGATACTTGAACGGCCCATCCTCACTGGTTGTGCGGGCCCCAGCATAATCTCCATTTTCCGGAGATTTCCTCGTTAAGCCATTGTGGCTCCCTGGAATCCCGAGGTCAGCCTGGCCAAAGTCTACTCCAGGTCTTAACCACCACAGGCAGTCGCAGCCCTTGTGGATCAGAGGGAGATTTGCCACCACGCGACTTTGATACCAGGGTGGTGGTGGATCCTGGTATTGGTTCACTCTTAGCTACGCTTCCTGATAGAAACGCCGAACTCCTCAGCTTGCGAGACCCTGCCAGGGGATGAATTCCCCGCTGTACATCGCGGTCCGACACCAAGGAACACTTTCCAGCCACAATGAGGTGCTAAACCGTTGGGAGGCCATGAAAAATAAAAGACGGTAAATAAAAAGTAAAACATTATGACTTTTGTTGTAGTATTGCGTCGTGTTGATAACGTGGTTTTTAAATTTTTCTATTGTGGCTAACTCCTCAGGGCTCTCGCCTTCTAAAAAACATCAATGTGCTGCAGTTATCCTTCACGATGTGTGCATCTTCTTACTGGCATCGAGACGAATCCAGTGTGGTGAGACTCCATGAGATAGTAAGATAGATGGAGATAGCAACTTCACTCATTATTGCGTGCCTGATTGTACAGCATTGTTCTTGACTGATTCTCCACTGATGACGACGTATTCATGAAGCCATTTATTCTGCAACATTAGGAACTATATTAACTGGTTCATACCGGGCTAATGATTTATTTGCTTCCTACTAGACTTTTTCACGCAAGGCCTTATGTGAAATACAACCATAGTGATGGTAAGATAATGTTGCTTTTTATTTACTACCTATTGCAATTTTCATGGTAAGGTATTATGTGCCACACAACCACAACTGCTAATGGCGCTGATCGATAGAAGTAGCTGAGAGACAGGCGAAACATAGAACCCACATGGTGTGGTGGTAAGCGCTTTAATCTCCGGAAAGGATAAGTAATAGCGCGTTCGTTCCGCACCACAGGTACCTGCGGTCTAGAGTTTCGCAAATGTCTTAGCATCATTGTGGTTGTTAAGATATTTGCAAAACTTCGAACAGAGAGCAAATCTCTGCGTAAAATCGAACACGCTGTTACCTTTTCCAGGGTTAACGTGTTCACCACCATACCGTGCAGGTCCCTCGTTTCGCCTATTTCTTAGCTAGTTTTCACAGTGCCATGAGCAGTCCCACCCGCCAACGGGATTGATCTGGGGTGGGCACTAATCTGTTATAAGCACTGAGGTGGAATTAAGTTGATCTTCAAAGCATGACCTCAACAGCTCCCGAATAGTTCGACACAAAGGAACCGTTAGGACCGCCACTTCTACTATGATTGAGTCCAATTCTTTATTCGTCATAGCCTCAATATTTCCTTAATACTCGATTCCGCAATTTAGAATGAAGCATTTGAGGTTGAGTACTCGATGCAAAGGGCCCGAATGCACAGAAATATTTTAAAAAATTTAATTTCCATATGCAATGTATGATAAAAATGTCTTTACGAACGCAGTTTTACCAACTATTATGCCCGCAGTGAGACAGGAACCTATTTGATGCTCAGTATCACTCGCTCGTCGTTCCACTGGCTACTCAAGGTGGCGCGTATAAATCTTCCATTTCTACTTGACACTTGCAAGAGTAGTCTCGTGGGTTCTCATTGCTTTTGCGACTTTTTCAACCTCACCCTTTCTTCTGGGATTTTCGTGAAGAAATCTGACCATCAAGTCGGTGGTCTTCTTGCAGCACATTTGACAACCCCAGGAATCTGGTTACCAGCACGACTATTGTCCATCGCTTGTCGTTCGTACGCATTACGTGTCCAGCGCACCTTATTCCCAACAACTTGGCGTGTAGTACGGTGTCTTTAATTTTTGCTCGTTGACGTAGATCGAAGCTTTGGATCCGTTCCCTCACTCAAGTGATACTCCTAGCATTGTCTTTTCGACTTCGCATTCTACAACGCTGAGTGATTTTCAATCCTGCTTACGTAGCCACCAGGTTTTTGAAACATACGGTATGGCAAAAAGAATGATGGAGTCGAAAAGTTGAATGCGGAGACGGATGTTTTTCGTTCTCTTAGCACATCCTCGATGCTCTTGAAAACTTCCCAAACCACTCGCTTTCTCCTGCCCAACTTTGGAGCTAAGTCGTCAATCATGTCGGCTTCCTGATCTAAACAGATGTTGATGGAGCGTTTAAAGAAATTCGTTCCATTTAGGACGAGTGAGGCACACGAAAACAATCCATTCCTCATAAACATCATATTTGTGTAATTTAGTCGAAGTCTAATCTTTCCACAAGCCATGTTTAGGTCGGTCGACATTCTTTCTGCCTGGCTGATGCTTGATCTTGTGAGAATAATATCATTGGGAAAGCAAAGGCGATGCAAATGCCGACCATTGATTTTCATTCCCATGCTGTCCCATTTTTATATTCACATGACGTTCTTGTAGGCGGCAATAAATAATTTTAACTAGATGGTGTCGCCAATCTGAACCTCTCTTTCGATGCCAATACTAATATCATTAAAGAACGGTGATACTGTCTTCGTTAAATTTTTGTATAGCTCACGAATAGTCTTTATATAACTCGAAAGACCGACTTTCTATGAACCTCGGCATAAATAGTTGATATATTTATTTATGAGATCTTATAAACTGATCTTCTTAAGCTGACGCGAGGTTGGTACGTCCCGCACGTAACATCACGGCTCTGAGGAAGGCGAAGTCGCCGAAACGTCAGCCATCGATCAATAACATCAAAAACAACGACAACGACAACGACAACGACAACGAAGATCTGTACCAACCTCGCGTCAGCTTAAGAAGATCAGTTTATAAGTCTTTATATACATAGTAAAGAGGTGCTAACAGTCTAGAGCTTCTATGACTGCTTCTGTCTAAGCCAAGTTCAAAACTATCTTTAAAATGCTGAAAGTGGGACAGGACGGTCTCTTGCACTCTCGAGATACCCTAACCAGTCCAGGCATCGTGTGGATGTGATCTGTAGTACTGAATCCGTTTTGAAGTGCTCCTTGCTCAAATAACTCCTTTTCGTCCAGCGCTCTTCTGTCAAACCTGTTCAGGATGACTTGAGTGAAGAATTTGTTGACGACTGATATCAAGTAGATTAGGCAATGGTTTCCGATGTCATGAAGGTTATCATTGTTCGATAAATTTGGAGATGGATAATCGTATTCTCAGTTGACAATGTGGAGAGAGCTTGTCTCGTTTTGAAAATCTTCTGTACAAACAGAATTTCTGTCATCAGAACGTTAGTGGTGGCATAACCGGGTCATTCCTAGTGCCTAGTGAAATCGTATTTTTATCAAGGAAAGAAGGTGTAATGCTCATCGATACTGAGATGAGCTGGGCTACTTCATTCTCCGGTAAGGAAGTAATGTGATGCTGAACTTGCAGGAGACTCCGGAAATCTTCATTGTACACCTCACTCGTAAACAAACGCGCCTACCTAATTGACAAGGATATATTATTTTTTTCTTTCCCCATGCTTGCGATACTTCTTTGCTCCACTAATCTCACCGAAACTAGCATTCACCATTTCTCAAGCCACCTAGGCATTGCATCGAATGATTTCCCCAGAAACTTTGGTGAGATTTGGAACATTACTTCTCGCATTCACCCTCCAAATGTTTCCAAACTCGTTGGTTCGGTGCAGTAAACTTGACCTTTTAATTAGCTCCAAAGAAAAAAACTGCAGCGTGTGAAGTCAAAGTATCTAGTTGCCTACTCAAGGGGATCACAACGACCGATTTATCCCCAAGGTTATAGGCCCATTCATGGACAACAAAACTCCTTCTTGAGCACATTTCTTAGGCAGTGAGGGGAGAGATCACTTCACCACGATGCTTGCCTAATTCATTTTTCTAGGTTATGAGTAAATAACTGTTCAACAACTTCCATCATATCCTGGTCACTGGAATCGGAAGGGAGAACACTTCACTGGGTAAAAGCTTCATATCCTCTTCTCATAAGTCTTTCATGGTAATTTTGATCGCCTTGTGTCAGCTTGAGCATACATTTCTTTGACGGTCCTTCATCTCTTTTTCACTTTGACGACGTCTCTCTAAACTTCGTAAAATGCCTCCGTCTGGGTATGCTCTTGTGGCTGAAGACGTCCACCATGTTAGTAGGGCTTCCATACTTCAAATAACCGATCCGAAAAAAACAGTTTGCAACGAACATTACAGTGTATACAACCACAATGTTGCTGAGATATTTGCAAAACTCTGGACCGCAGGTGTCTATGGTGGAGAACGAACGCGCTATTATCCTTTCCGGGGAGTAACGCGTTCACCACCACACCATGCGGGTCCTTTGTTTTTACAGTGTATAGATCAATTCTAGGTATTTTAAAATAAGAACCTGCCTTTTCAACCACCCTACAAATTAAATTGGCAAACAAATATTCCTCATAGTAAACTTTTATAAGTATCTAACATTTGGGGCAACAACTAAATTTGCGGCACACCGTCCTCGTTATCGTCGCAGGATTCAGAATGATTCGTTAAAGAACTACGTTAGACGTTTCGATTACACGTAGAAAAACGACGGTGACTGTTGCAGCAGAACGACTAGTCAACAGGGGTCCGCTAACGGCCTCCGTAGGACCTGGAGTCAAGTCGTCATCGCGAGGCTTATCAATTGTCAGCGCCATTCGTTCGCTGCCAATCTGTGCCGTGACCGGCAGAAGTTGATCTGTCACAAATTTTACTGCTATGGTTACAGCGTCTTTTTGTCTCATCCCTAGGAAAAATCTAAGGAACGAAATGAAACCGCTAGCTTGTCTAACAGATATGCGTTTTTCCCATATTTATTAATTCACAAATTTGTTAAAGTCAAAGCTTCTGTATTATCGGTATTTAAATTCGTCGATCACTTAGGTCACCTAGATTAGCTATTCTAGTTAAACCATATAGTATATTCTCACGACCAGCTTTCTATTAACCCTAGGCATTGATCGAAGAACTCTTTGTATCCTTCTTTGGGAAACATGGAGTGTTATTTTATTTCTTTATTTACACACAGGCTGACGTTTCGGCAGATTTCGTCTTCCTCAGAGCTTGAAAAGGTTAAGTTGACCGCAATGTACCAAGCCAAACACCTCCATAGTCTCCACATATGGCATACATATATCCACAGTGATGCTGAAATATTTGCAAAACACCGGACAGCGGGTGTCTGTGGCGAAAACACTGCTGAGAGGAAAGCAAGGCGAAGGATCCGCATGGTGTGGTGGTGAACGCGTTAGCCCCGAAATGAGCAATATCGTGTTCGATCGCTTCCGTAGACACCTGCGGCCCGGAGTTTTGCAAATATCTCAGCATCATTGTGGTTATATTTCACATTATACCCTACCATGAAAGAAGAATAGACAGCAAAAAAATTGATTGTATAGTAAACACATGTATATGTATATGTATATATTCATATTCATATATATATATACACGTAAACATGTGCATATATGTACACAGGTATATATATATATATATATATATATATATANACACATATATATATATATATATATATATATATATACATATTTATATATGACTAGTATTAGATACCACAGGCTAACTCATGTATGTTTTTGGATAGATCATCATCTTATTACATAGAGAATTCCCGCCGTAGTGAGGTGGAAGCGAGGAGTTGAAAAGGAATTCAGGTTATATTAATTCAGGTCAGGTAAAAGGTAAAAGGTCATATTTTGTGGAACAAAATTCCTTTGAGTCATTCATTAAAAATTCTGTTTTACTGATGCATGAATATTTAAATAACCGGATAGCATTGTTCTTTGCGGGTTAGGAAAAACTATAACTGATTGGTCCCACTCGACAGTGGCCTCATTTGCACTGATTTCTCAAAGTTTGTCAGCCTTAGGACCGAGTGGAATGCTCAATAATTCGATAACATCCTTCTCTCTTCGTGAACCTCGACCAATTTTATCATAGAGAAATTTAATTAGGCTTTTGAAGAGATAACAACAGGAAATAAAAAAGAAGTATTGAAAAGTAGGTAACAAAAATAAATATAAATATAAATAAACGAAAATAAGAATAAAATAAATAGATAAATAAATAAGTAAATATAAATATTTAAATAAAAAAATAAGAAAACAACATGGACAAAGCCTAGACGTAGTGTTGTGCTGTTCTTTCAAATCTTTCGCCTATTGCAACGCAAGAGTCAGAAATGCTAACCAGTTGTACATTAAGGTAAACTGCAATGGATACCAATATCGTAGAAATCGCTACTCAGCTCACATCTCTTAGACCTCTGTTGACTAGAAAATCATCTTCAACTCTTAGAGACATGCTATCTTATCTATTTGACCGCTGAAAGCAATGGTTCTAGGGTTGGTGATCAGCACTGCCCACATATCACAAACAGCAGAAGTGATCAGACAGTGTGTCCTTTATGGAAGTGTAGTGCAAAGGACGAGACAGGAGAGAGTAAGTGGAAAGTAGTACTTGTATCATAACGTGTGGCCGATCAAGATGGGAGCGTGGTGCTTCCGATCAGCAAAAGTCCACGGTGGCGGCGTCAAAGCTTCATGTAATTCCGAACCAGGTAGGCCCAATTTGCAGTACTGTATTGTAAGGAGTATTTCCGCTTTCATTCAACCATTAAGATCTTTGGTTCCTCTTACGACTTTCTGGTTTTTTTTTTGGTAATATGCTGTCACTAAAGTGTCCTACCGGTTTTCCCCTAAACGACGAGTTTCTAACAATTTCTTCACTTTCTATCTACCTTATTCTAAAATTCTATATGCCTAGTATTAGTCAAATGCTGAATCCATTTATCTAAACATTATTGAGACCAAAATTCTTTTGGCCTGAATGAAAGTTCAAGGCAAGTGTAACTGAAATTTCCTTTTACTGTTCATTGTCATTTGAAGAAACTTCCATTTCTTCGTTAGACATTAGCAATCGCTTTGGCTTCCTTCATGTGCTCAGAACTTCTCAACCAATAGAGAAGTCTGCTCTATAGCTTCACCGGGTGCATAAGGTTTCTACTCGAGTTTGTTGTAATTTAACCTTGTTTGGAATCGAAATATTCAAGAAACCACAAATGGAAGTTCAGTTTTTTAAATTGCTCAAGTAAGCACAGCACAACGGCTAACAATTTACGATACACTGTGGAAGAGTGTCGTGTTCTGAAATCGGACATTTCCCGTAATTCAAATGTTTCCCTATTTGAAATGCAAGAAATCAACGAAAAAGAAATAGAGAGGAAATACGCTTTGCATAGAAACGCCTTATATTCAAGAAATTCGAAATTTCATCTTGATAGATTAAGGGAACTTTCTACTGAAATAACGTCTCGTAGGCAAAGATTTGCGGACGCCAATAGTTTTATTTCATCTACGAAAGCTAAATATATGAAGAAAGAAATGTGTTTGCTTAAATATGAAGGCATTCCTTAATTTCTCATAATCTAAATTACATACTACTATTCATATACAGTTAAAAGGGTTTAAAAACCTGTCGTAAGTACAATGTTTGTTTTAAATCGCTCTGATTTCTCACTACAATCACAGCGATGCTGAGATATTCGCAGAACTCGCGGACAGCAGGTTCTGCGGTGGGGAACGAACGCGATCACACCCTTTCCGGGAGTGAGCGCGCTCACCACCACACCATACAGGTCCTCGTTGCGTCCGTCTCTCAGCTAGTTTTCTATCGACTAGTATCATCAGCTGTCACCCGTCAATGGGATTGATCTGGTGAGCCTAAATTGGCATTGAACCCAGTTAGAATGAGGGTGTAGTTAGCCGCCGGAAAGGGTAATAGCGCGTTCGTTTCCCACCGCACACACTTGTGGTCCAGAGTTTTGCAAATATCTCAGGATTACAACCACAACGTTGCTGAGATATTTGCAAAGCTCTGGACCGCATGTGTCTATGGTGGGGAACGAACGCGCTATTGTTCTTTCCGGGGAGTAACGCGTTCACCACCACACCACGCGGGTCCTTTGTTTCGCCTGTCTCTCAGCTATTTCTATAGATCTTTGCCACAGCAATCACCCGTCAGCGGGATTCCCAACCATAGACACCTGCGGTCCAAAGTTTTGCAAATATCTCAGCAACGTTGTGGTTGTATTTCGCTTAGTACTCTGCCGCGAAATTATAGTAGGCAGAAAATAAAAACGTATAACATTATCTCAGGATTGTTGTGGTTGTTTCACAAATAATATCCTGCTGACAAAACTTGTAAAATGCAGTAACTAAAAAGTTAACATTGTAAATCTTACTACAATATTCGCTTTAAGCCTTTATGATTTTTCACTATCTCATCTCATGGATGACTGATGCTTAAAAGAATGCTTTTTTGCTTCTGTCGGCTGGATTGGGTTTGCTGAAACGACCTAATGTTATGCGCTCATCCTTCTCGAAACCATAGGGCGAGTTGCTGTAGTATTATTACTAGGATTCGTAAAATCGAATTACTTTAAAAAGTTTCCCTTAATCTCACCCTGGCACTGAATTCGCTGAATTACGGCGCGAGTGATAACAGAATGAACACGTGGTTTGCCAAACACGTGATGAATGAGAAAGCGTGGAAAAGATTCCGCTGCTCAAAGCCTTATCAGTGATCGGTCGCATAACGGAATTTGGTTTTAGTCCATGAAGTTGCCTATTCATTTCTCAACCAAACGCAGAAATCTGAGGTAAACTTCTAGGTTAATGGGAAGTTTAGAACACAAGTTTTTTTTTCGTACACTGTAAAGCAGTTTAGGTGTCGCATACTATTTAAGAAAGATTCCGATTTGCTGTTAAACAACAAAAAAACACAAAATCAACAAGCACTGAGATCATGTGACAACCACTAGTTAACCATTAACTGGAACATCGCATGGACAAACATCAGGCGATGGCATCTTGCATGACTCCGTCGTATCACTTTATCCCTCGTTTTCCTCTCCATTGGAACAAAATGAGAGACCTTAAATGTCAAAAGTGGCACACCTTCAGCGACAAAATCAAGTTACATTGAAGAGAATTAAGTTGCTTCTATGCAGAAGTTGAAAAGGCTACTCAGCTCTAACTATACGACCACCGATGAGAATCTGCACGCACAGGTCTATCCCATAACAATGTTCCAGTGGATATCATTCGAGTCCCTGGTAAACAAGCTATGTATCTATGTATGATATGTATAAGTATGTCGCCTTGAAAATCAATGAAGCAGTAGGACTTCTAAAAAGATATGAAGACTAAGGTTTCATACTGCGCCAAACCGACAGGCGCTACATATTTGGAATATCATGCACAGCCTGACCGGAAACACACAGATAAGATTTGCCGGCACTGGTGGAAGAAACACTATGCGAAAAACTCCCAAAAACTTTCTCTGATTAATTATCATTGTTCTCCTCACTGATATTGCTTCCACAATTATTTTTGTTGTTATCACTCTTATCATTTACAAATCTAAGAAGACGCTAGAAAGCCACTCGTTGAGTGATTTTAGTGATAAATAATCAATATAGAAACGATTCACGTCTTTCCATCAAAAAACGCTCAAGTGGATTTTACGGCCAGTTTCTTTTCCCCTTCAGCGGTGAAATGTAGTTACTGTGTTGGAGAAAATGAAATCGCTTATAATTTTCAGATATCGAAGCAGCAATAATCGGTAGCGTACTGGTTTTCGCTAATCCGAATTCCGGATCTGGTAAAGCCATGAGAACATTCCGTGAACGTGTTGAGCCCCAGCTGCGAAAGAACCACATAGAATTTGAGCTTATCATTACAAGTGAGTTTCTTTCACACAGAACAGCATTATCATGATTTCACCGAGTTAATGAGCTACCGATGAGTAAAGATGTTATGGATGTTGACTCCAAGTCAGCTGCTTCTTGTCCATTACTGGTCACCAAGTCGCTTGGAACATAGCGACTAGTTCATAAGTGCAGGGCTTTGACGCTTGTGGAACCGCATGACAGCAATTACTTTCTGCACATCAGCTTTCTTTTAACTCTTTTCTCTTGCGTTTTTCTTGTCTTCGTTCTCATTTTTCTACTAAAACCCGTGACATCTGCGATTTATTTGGCGTCACCGGAAAACCATTACAAAGTTCATTTACAGAAACTATTGTAACGCGTAAGTGCAATGAAAACGTGTGCACTAAAAAAGTGCGATGAAATGTTGCAATTGAGCTTTCTGAACTGCGATTGACAAAACTGTCGTTTTTACTTTCGTTAATAAGAAGTAGGTGAACCGGTCCTCTGATGATGAATGGGTGCAATACAAACTTCTTAAGAGAAACTACAATGCGCAACATAAAGTTCAGCCTCTTCCTTTGTTCCCCTCTTTTTCCCTCCCTTCGTCTTTCTCTCTCTCCTTCTCTCTCTCTCTCTCTCTCTCTCTTTGCCCAACCTTCATCCTTCGTTTTTAGTGGGGAAAATTACCAAAATTAGAACAAAGATTTTCTTTTCTTGCGCGTTTTTTCATGAAGGTCGTGTAATAAAGAGTCCTTAGGGAACAACGTGAAACTTTATTTGTGAAACAGTAAAATAATTTTCGATAGTAGGTAGCGATTACTGTATGTACGCGACTCAATTTCCAGACATTCGCGCACGGCAGAATCCTTTATGCTGAGATTTTTTCTCCTGAACTGTTACAATCTTGAGGTAAAAGGAGCTAAGTTGAAATGAGCGAGGAGTGCTCATAGGTTTGACCAACAAAGGCAACAATTTTCCAAGCCATTATTTGTCATAAAAATAGAATATCAGCTTATCGGATACATTGGACATTTTCTTTGGAGAATTCTGACAATAAGGGATACTACGTAATAAATTATTGTCTCAATATTAATGGTGTAGTTACGTTTGTACGTGGTTTCACTAGCTTCTTTCTTTTTTTGATATTCTTCCTTTTTCACCGGTCTGTCATTTTAGATGGGTCAAATCATGCGAAATCTGTGATCCGCTCTCACAATGATCTCGGCAAATTCAACGGAATAGTCATTTTATCTGGTGATGGCCTCGTGTCGGAGGTTACTTCAAACGATTTTTTTCTTCGATAAAATCACCTTTCCCGAGCAGCCCCAAGAGGAAGTTTAGAGTTCGCTAAACCTTTCAAACTGGTAGCTGTTCCCACGTTGAGACTAGTTAGATCCCGTAATTTTAGAGCGCTGTCATGCTATCATATTGCTAACATTCTTCAGGTTCTGAATGGACTCTTTGAGCGTGAAGATCGCACCAGTATCGTGCCATCTATGCCAATCGGCGTCGTTCCATGTGGATCCGGCAACGGCTTGCTCTCGTCGTTGTTCTTCAGTCAAAAGTATGATTGTTCAAATTTTCTTCAGCAAATTCGTTAGTGCGGCTACAGTTGAAAATTTTCGTTGTATACTAACTATCCTCTGCATCTTTTTTCCACAAGTTTAAATCGTCTGGCAATAATGGAATATTGAACTACCAAAGGATCATGAGGAATAAAAGAAAGATAAAGCTCTCGGCGTTGATTAATCCCTTAGGAATGAGCCAGGCACTCGACTTCACTAAGTATCGCATGGATGTGACTGGATGCATGTCTGGCTCTTACAATGACTAGCAGTGGCCTACCGATTTACCAAGCTAGTGCTACTGTTCTCCCAGACAAGCCTGATACCAATTCGCCGGGTATTGATTCTTTCTTTCTTTTACCATCTCGAAATGACGAGATACCATTCCTTTACGTCGAACTGCTACATACTTTGAACCTTTATCGTCAAGCAAGCCAATTTATAGAAGATGGGAACAAGCATTAGCAAGAAACTCAGAACTCAGCTTAACCATGTGTAAACCACTACTACCAGAATCACTCCTTGCTTACTCGGTAGGTCTTAGTGGCAGCGTGAACCAAACGCCTTCCTCATAGTTAAACGCTTTGGGAATATCTATTTCCGAATACAACAATATATACCTGGAGACTAATAAGAACTAATGACCAAATGCGTAATGTTCCCAAAAATTTATGTTAGTGTTCTTGATTTATTCCAAAGCAAGTGCAGAGGTATACAGCATTCACTTGAATTTCGTCGACTGCACGCTCCAATTTTAAGATTCTACTGTACACCCAAGGATTAACAGTTATTGTCTGTCTACTCTATAGCTAACAGGCTTCAACTTTTGATCGAAAACGACCACCATTTTGTTGACATCACTTTTACCTGCTACAATGTTTCTGCATGATTTCTTTTCACACATTATAGTGTTCTTAACTCTTTTATTTACTGTTTTTTTTCTTTTTAATGACAGGGCATGTTGCGAAATATAACTCGTATATAGTGCTGAGATATTTGGAAAACTCCGGACCGCAGGTGTATGCGGTGGGGAACGAACACGCGCTGTTGTCCTTACCGGAGAGCAGCGCACTTCACCGCCACACCATCCGGGTCCTTCGTTTTGCCTGTCTCTCAGCTAGTTCTATCGATCTTTTTGCCATCAGCATTACATACGAATTACAGTGTTCGTTTATCCAAAACGTTTAAATATTCTTTCATGCCAGCTCAGTGTTGTGATTACACCACTTTATCAAAGCTCTTATGCTATATGCTGATAACGATCGCTCCGCAAGCGCTAATATCTGCCGTCGTTACCAGTTACGATTGTGTGACTCTTGAATGGACGGCGCAGTTCGCAAATCCAGCATACATTCAACACCATAAAAACTAAATCGGTATCTCCTTGGATTCCTAATCTGATGCGAGGTTATTGTAAATTTTTTATTCCCGCTGCTTCGGAGTTTTAGCATTCTTCAGACCCGCCTTGATCCGAGCTGATTGTCCACAGCTGGTAGTTCTCGCGATATAGGTCTTCGTGGTCGCATTCAGTCGAGCGTACTGGAGTGAAGCACCTTGAGTGAAGTTTCCTCACCGGAAGGAGCTGTCGCTGATCTGTTACCACCGGATATAATCTGCTTTTTTTGCTGAAATGCATAATTTTGGAAGGCTAGTTATTATACAGCGGTAGACAGCACAGTGATTGTGATGTCGGTGATAAGCCATTCGTCACTTTGGGGTCGGGAAATTGGTGTCAGACTTGTCCGAGAAAAACACCCTTTACAATCCAATAGGTAACGCTTTAGCCCGGCTATATCAGGACTCCAGCGAGAATCGAATCCATCATCATACTCCGACAATTAACATAAGATGAAAATCTTCAAACAGTAATCAGAGGTACACCTAAACTTTAGGGGATGATGAATGCAGAAACGAATCGAATATGAGAAGTTCTGGGATGGGCATAGTAGTTGTGAAAATGTTTTCTGTGAAGTAAAAAAATTACTTTTATTCTCTCAATAGTTTAGGACATTCAATAGAATGTCTATTAAAATAGCGCGTTTTATACAATGCTTCAACACCACTGCAATGGTGCTAAAGGGATTACATTCCCATCACCTCAACAATGAAAGTTGGTTTCGAGCTCCTTCATTTGGGCAACTTGTCTCTCTTTTGGAGTATTTCCCAGAAAAAAACTTACCTCCTCATATCATATCATATCAAATCAACCATCTATGGATACTGCAGTGATCGTCTATTGTCATGTTTCAATAATATGTGATATGAGTTTAACTGGCTGTATTAGCACGAGATTTGGAAACAATGCTATACAATTCGCCTAAACAGCTGATGAAGAGCCAAACTTGAATGGTGATGGATTGGTCGAGATAAGATCATCATTTTTCACTAAATTATTCGGTTAGATTAGTATTGACGGGGTGGAACCTGTTGTTAAGCTTCTTTGAAGCTCTTGTTGTTCTAAACAGACTGTACCTGGCGTCTCCGTCTATTCTCTGTCTGTCTTTAACTTCCAAATAATTTTTTGAACGACTGATGATAAAGAGGAGTATATTGAAAAGACTTTTCTTTTCCTTATCGTCATGGTGATGCAAAATAATTGCAAATGCTACTCCTTTCCTACTAATAATGGTTCAGGCGGTAGGCGGTTCTAGGATTTATGAGCCTTCAAACAAGGCCACGTCACGTTTTTTCTATCGCATGATGAAAGGGCTAAACCATTCCCTTGTGTGATAACCGAGGATCTTGTAGACAGCGATTGGGAATAGTCTTATTTTAGTTTGGTAAACGAGCCTACACGATTTATTTAACAGAGTGTCCAAATGCCCACTTTTTTCATTTGCCGCTTATTATAATTTTTCATAGCAAGGTATAATGCGAAATACAACCACAATGATGCTGAGATATTTGCAAAACTGCGGACCGCAGATGTCTGCAGTAAGGAACGAACGCACTGTTGTCATTTCCGGGGAGTAACGCGCTCACCACCATACCATGCGGGTCCTTCGTTTCGCCGGTTTCTCAGTTAGATCTATCGATCAGTGCCATCACCCGTCAATGGGATTGATCTAGGGAGCCCAAATCGGCATTGAATCCAGTTAAGCTGAGGCTGTAGTTGAAATCACAACGCTTTTCTATTTTCTGCCTATTAAAATTTTTCATGGCAGGATATAGTGCGAAATACAACTACAAAAATGCTGAGATATTTGCAAAGCTCCGGATCGCAGGTATATGCGGTGCGGTGTGAATGAATGGGTTATTAACTTAACTGAGAGACACGCGAAACGAAGGAACCACATTGTGTGGTGATGAACGTGTTAGCCCTTAGAAAGGATAACAGCGTGTTCGTTCCCCACTACATACACCTGCGCCCCGGAGTTTTGCAAATATCTCAGCATTATTGCAGAGTGTCCAAATTTTTCTATAAGGCTGCTTTAATGCTACCTTCTTCGCTGAGCGGCGAATTCGTTTTGTACGTGTTACAAGGACGTTCAAGTTAGTAGTATTTGAATGTGCAGTACTTTTCAGCCTTTCCTTAAATTACAGGACACTTATTAGTCAGTCTTCCTGGAGGTTACTGGACATCGTAAAATCATTGCTGAAGTTATCATTCTTGGCAGCAGTGCAACTATTGCATTCGAATGTGCCTCATAGCATGTCATGAACAAGTGTGGACAGTTTCAGTGAGCCGTTAGTAAATCCGAAATTCACGAACCGCGCAATCGAAGTTTGTTGCTCTCCTGAATCTCGTGCTCAACCTGTGAATCTACTCCATGTGCAAACTGACAAAGAGAATATCGCAGCATTCCTCAGCATCGGTTGGGGTCTCATAGCTGATATTGGTGAGTATACTGAGGATAAATAATAAAGCAAACCAAAGCCAGTAAGCTCTTAAAGATAATACGCTGCCATAACAGAGTTGTAGATGGTAGAAAAATAATCCTCGATTTTAGCTTTCAGCTTCCAAATTCTAAAGTTAGATTTAGATAGGACACTATTGATTTAAACATAAAAGCTTAAATTAGTGCACTTATGACATAAAGTCACGAATTTGTTCGTTTCGCTACCTCAAATTTCTTAAGCTCTGGGCACTATTTATTTTATCTCCTGGGAATTTACTAGCAGGACTTTTATTGCCAAGGACTTTATCAACTACTTGTTGTCGAGATGCTTCGAAGAAGTGATAATTAGTTCACGGGAAGTTTTATGAATATGCCGAGGCAGCGGTTCGTTTAGAATCTCGTCCACCTCATACAGTGTCAATTGTGCGACTTGCAGTCCAGTATAGACCTGCAATACAGTCAGACTTTTTTGGCGACATATAAATGCAACTGCTTCAGTTCTTTTCAAAGAATTCATCGATTTTTTGGAAATATTTTTGTGCTATCGTTTCGTCAAGATTTGAGAATCCGTTCACACGGTTCACCCTCCGGAAAATGGAGAACTCATCATCGCCATCTTTCAACGTTTTGGAAATGCTTAGAAGCTCTATTTAGGTCCAGTCGCGGAATTGAACATTATCGGTTCTCCTATGGCACGATTTTTCAACGTAATCGGGAAATGAGTGGTTCTTACTGAACAACGATCTCACTGCCTTTTACCTACTTCATGCGACGCATATTTGTCGAGCGTTTTCACCATTTCGATATCCTCCAATCCGCCAGCGATTATTGTTGAACCATTAATATATATTTATTCTGCAATCTCTCGTGTTAAACGCAACCATAATGATCGTGAGATATTTGCAAAACTTCGGACCGCGGTTGTCTGCGATGGGAATCGAACACGCTGTTACACTTCCCGAAGCCTTACGCATTCACCACCACACCATGCGGGTTCTTCGTGTGGCGTGTCTATCAGACACTTCATCTCATTTTAACTACCCTCTCTTGTTGTTTATGGAAGTGCGGTTTCAACTACCAGCTTCAAATCATCGCTTTTCATTGCTGATAAATGCCCAGGACCGTCTCTGTCGTGATGATTTAACTCTTCAGTAAGACTCGTGGATTAAAAACCAGCATGCGCTGGGAACCTTGTACTTGGCTCATTCTTGGACGACATTTCGACTTTCTATTGTCGTTCGAACTGGTAAAACGAATTGTTGCTATTCCTATGCTTTAAAACATCATTTCAACCACTCTCAAGTTATTGTAGACTGAATGGATAAGAGATGATAGTGAAAGATATAAGCTTTAAGGTGGAATACGGCAGGTAGTGTAAGCAACAAATGTACACAAATATATGTCCAGTTTTTCCCAAATTCCATGACGTCAAATGTGCTTATAATTTTTCACCCTATAAACTGCTGTTTAACAATTTTCGCACGGTGTTCGATTAATCAGCATCTTATCATTCCCAGCAAAAATCTCATAATTCAAATGACGATGTATATTACGCGCCGAAAGGTAAAATCAGACTTTTTTTAGATATTGAAAGTGAACAATGGCGGCAATCGCTCGGATCAAGTCGATTCGTTATCGGAAGCTTAATCAGAGCATTAAGTAAGAGTTTTGCTTCTTATGTACCTTATTTTGAAATAATTCTTGTATGAAATTAGGCCAAGAGTTTTATTTTTTGTGCGATATTTTCAATATCTAAGTTGTTAAATGACCACTGGTTTTCCCTCATCGGGGGATCTCATGCCGCTTAGTCGCAAGAAGATCTGCCACGTCCAGGTGATGGACAGGAGTTCGCGGAACAAAAGCGAGCTTTGCTTCCCTGTGAAGTAGATGGATCCAGAGAAGGTCCTCGTATTCCTGCTGAAAATCCTGCGTGCATTGGTGGCTATGTTCTCGTGCATTCTACGACTCAGTTCGGCCAAAAGCTTTCAAGCAAGTGAATGGAAAGTTTACGGGAGACGGTTAGGAGTCGCCTCCAACAAACAAACAGTTCACACATCTACTCTGGGAAGACTACCAAGCTATTCGTGAGTATACCAAGCCCCTAAGTTCAGAAGTCAGAAAGCTATAGGTGTGTACCAAATAAAACAGTAAAATAAACGGGCCTCACTCTCCTGACCTCGAAAGCACCTCAAATGCGGCAGTGTTGGGTAGGACGAATACGGAGAGGCTGCTAAGAACCTCAGGACCTTCTTAGACCATTTAAAATCGTAAAGGTGTAAGATGACAACCTGTACTTACAATACACGCTCACCTTCTTCTGAGCTCTTGATAGACGACTTGTTCATGCAGGCAAGAAAGGTAAGGTACGGCGTCACCGGACTGGCTGAGACAAGAGCACGCCACGCATTAAACGCCGTCTGTGATACCGGAAAAGAACTATTTCTCGGATCATGCGACAATGGAGTAGTTGGTGGTGTCGGCGTTCTTGTTAGCAGAAGTCTTGCCATGAACACCGGATTCGTTCGAAAGCTAACAATCAGAGTCGGACGATTACGACTGAGCGTGGAATCGCACGAGCTGCAGGCAACCACGAACTAACACCCGAACTTGCAAAACAATGCAGACAAGCGATAAAAGAAGATCTTAAAGAGAGAAGAGCAGCAGCAATGGTCGAAGCTGTATAGGCTGAAAAAGCATCCGCAAAGCGCACCGAAGCTTTTTCAATTACAGGACCAATTTGATTGCACTCTGACGACGAGACGGAACAGTTATAGCATCAAGAAATGCAGTGGAGAAAATCATTCACGATTACTGCACAGATCTCTTCAATAGCCACGTCCATTCCCCCTCATATGAAATAAAGAAGGATGAATGTGTTGTACCACCGGTTCTCCCTTCCGAAATCCGACATGCCATTTCGTCGGTGAAATGTCGAACACCAACAGGTCTGGGCAGGATAAGATCTGAACACCTGAAGAACTTTCCACCAGTCCCTGCAAATACACTGACTCGGCTCTTCAAACGTTACCTTCCTGAATGCAAGATCTCTACTCAATGGAATAACAGCAATACCGTGCTATTGTTTAACAAGGATGACCTCCATCATATCGACAACTATCTCCCAACCTGCTTATTGCCTACAGTCCACAAACTTTCTACTCTAGGTATACCAAACAGGAATGACAGAATACTGAACAAAGGACGGCCATGCGAGCAAGCAGAGTTTCGAAAAAAAATTCATTACATCAGATGGACATTATCCATACGTTAACCAGTCCGATTGAAGTATCACGAGACTACAAAAGACCGCTCTGTCTCATTTTCGTGGATTTAAAGGAAGCTTTTGACACAGTTGTGACAGCAGCCACGGAGCTCTGAACAGCAGGGCATCCCTACTTAGTATATAAAGATACTTCGTGAGCTAGCTATTTGAAAATTCCACAACCAGGATATCACCATTTCACAGCGATATTAACTTCGACGAAGGAGTGTTTAGGTAAGCAGATACGATTTCACCAAAATTATTTACTGCCACCTCCCACCCCCACTACAACTTCATGTGAACATCGGAATTGGATAATATGGAAATGAAAATCAATGGATGGCTATCACACTGTGTTCACTTTGCTGAAGACATCGTTTTTGTAACCACGCATTAGCTGGCACAGCAAAGCTTCCCGACTTTAATAAAGCTTATGGAAAAATCTAGATCTTCTAGTAAACTTCACCAAAACGATTTTCGTGAGAAACGGATTGGTTTTTTATACTCCATTTATGCTCAAGGGAACAAATATCTCCATATGGTTCAGCTATGTCTATCCAGGTCAGGAAATCAACATAATGAACGAGTTAGCTCCAGAGTTGAGCAGGAGGAAGAGAACGGCCTGTGGAGCTTTCAAGAGCATGAAGAATTTAGTGAACAGAACAAAGAACAACCGACCTCGTAACCTCTTCTTCGACTCCACGAATTTTCCTGCTTTAACGTATGCATCAGAAATCCGATCGCTACGTCGCTGGGATGCAAGATCACTCAACGTTATTAAACACGCAGTCGAAAACACGATGCTAAGAGCCTCCCGTGTCACGCATGTGAGGGAAGGCATTGGAAGCTTTGATCCATGTCAATATGAACGATAAACGGTGGGAAAGATCCGTCAGCGACTGGATTTTTCGGTATGTCCAAAGTACTACAGAAAAAACCACTGATCTGATGGTCAGAGTTCTTCACGGGGAAACCAGAAGAGAGATACAATGCTTAATGAGCACCTAGAGTGAGCAGCACCCACTCAGCTACTCTTGAACGCGACAGGAAGAATTGAAAGATTTACTGGAGCCAGATCGAATCACTCGACGACTAACGGGACAATAGGTAACAACGGTGATCCAGTAGATTACAGGTTCATCACCGTTTACGAATTTCTCCTAAAGTCAAACTACGTTGTTTGTTTTATTGGAGAAGATTGCTTCTTTCAATTGAGCATTATGCTTTCGCAGAAAACTCTACTCGCAAGGATAAATGTCTTCCTTTGATAAAAAAAATCGAAGGTGACCGTTGTAGTTGTCATAGCATCCTGAGAACCCTCTGGTATGGCTGTGGTATTCCACGAAAAAAGCCTTGTTAAGGCCCTACCCTATCGCTTAGATAAAAAATACTTTTAAGCTCGAATGAATCTTCTTCAAGAGACGACATTCAAGTATTCAGGAATATATTCGTTGACACAAGATATTTGCCACAATGTAGCAGCATCCTTCATCTGACACAAATTCCATAAAAGTTTAGAACCAAGCAAAATACAGCAACAATGTTGCTGAGATATTTGCAAAAGTTTGGACCACAAGTGTTTAAGGTGGGAAACGAACGCGCTATTGTCCCTTCCGGGGAGTAACGCGTTCACCACATCAGATCAATCCCGTTGGATTGCTGATGGCAAAAGATCGATAGAACTAGCTGAGAGACAGACGAAACGAAGGACCCGCACGGTGTGGTGGTGAACGCGTTACTCCACGGAAGTGCGTTCGTTTC